AACCACAACACCATCTAGGCCAGTCGACACTCAGCCCTCAAGAACCTCCAAGATCTCCACCACCCTTGCCAACTGCTTCTTGTCACACCCCCAACCCTAGGAGGTCAACCTCATCGGAGGAGCGATGAAAAAAGGGAGCAAGGTGGCAGAGGCGTCGTCGAGGTTGTAGAACCAATTTCCGTGCCAGCTAGAGTTCAAACTCCTCAATGGAAAGCATAGATAGAGCCGAGACACCCCAGGACACATCTAAATGTTCATCCCACCCACGGGGCAACCGTTCCGCCGTTAGAGCCCAACACCCACTGACTCTTGACCTTGAAGAGCCACCAAAAAAGGTCCTTGTTGGGCTCTATCCCAAGGAAGGCCTCGCAGATGACCACAAAAGCCCACTAGCTGTAGCAAACCATTAGGAGAGAGATGTTGTAACTGGACGCCATGCTCTCGAAGAAATCCCCAAAGAAAATTTGACGCTGGAATCCCGAACCCGCGCTCATGGAAGTCGGTGAAGGACACCATTTTCCTGGGTCACGGGTTGGGAGCACCTCGCCGGTGGCGGCCCTCCAATCGGTGACCCCTCCGGTAGGAGAAGACCTTCATCAACGAGCCACAGCAACCTCACCTCCAGCACCATCAAAGGTACCCACTCACTCATCCTATGACCCAGGCAAGGCGCGATGTGAGGGTGGGGGTAGAAGGAGCGGTGGAGGGCAATGGCGTTTGATCTCCTAGGTAAACCTCTCGAGTTTGATTTCCCTCCGTCCCTCTCTCAATTGCAGCATATAGCAATGGAAGGACAAAACAAGGTAAGGGGACTCAAGTCCAGGGGGTCATATATGTGGCGATGGCCAGGGATGTGAACCGTACCCGCATGAAATCCACTCTGGGATAAGCCCCACGGACCCTCGGCAAATGACCCGCCGCACCGCAGCAATCGCGTGGCGCGGCGCATCACACGTTCACACACGAATAAGCGCCATTAAGTCACGCCGCCACCAAGGAGGCAGTAAGCCCCTAAGTCCACGCACAGAGAAGCCCGCTGTGTCTATGACCCCATGTTGTACCTGGGAAACCTTCTCTTGAGCCAGCCCTTAGATGGGTTCGACGCCACAAAAGAAGTAGGGGTAGGATGAGATGGGCCCCGGCAGCTCTTATTGGTGGTGGGAACCTCATGACAATCTCCTCCTATGTTTGAGTCGTTTGCTTCGAAGTCGCCTAGGTTGACCCCCTCTAGGGGGAGGCATCTTCACCTCTGGCCACTGTGGAGGCGGTTGGGGACCGACAGGCTTGACGACCAATGATTTATGGGACGTCTCTCGATGAGTCACAACCAAACTCCATGTCGATTGTGGAGGATATCGGGTCCCACTCGAATTACCCATTGACCTCGATGAGGCGCACCACTCCGACCACGTGGTTATGGTGGACAAGCCTCTCCCCGCGTGGAGCGAAGCCAAATGTGCCTGAAACCAGGCATCACGACCTCTAGGGGTCAAAAAGGACGTTAGCGAGAAAGGAGACGGGCCCATGTGATCCCGCTAAGGGTCATGGCCAGGCCACAACCAGCTCCTCCTCACGTCTCAGGTCACTAACCCATTGCCGCCTAGAATCTCGCGAACCAGTGGAGGCTAGCATCCCCGCTATAGGAGACTGACCGGATCAATGGTTAAAGGGCTCACAAAAGCACCCCCCGCAAGGAGTGTGCCTAAACTCACGTGGATGGCACCCCGGTCACGCATGATAAGGGATTCTTCAAACCCAATCGGCAATCCTCGGCTGATGAGGGCATCCCGGACCATGATACCACCAGGCAAAGCGGCCACGACCTAGTCACTACCAAGAAACCCTAGAATAAGCTAGAGGAAAGGTCACAGGAAAAGTGCTCAAGCAAGAGCCGACGACGCAAAAGGATCAGTTGGAAATTCGTTCTAGATCGCAGCCCTAGACCAACGAGCTTGACCCCGACCGCTGAGCTCAGGGGCTCAAAACTAACCTCATAGCAAACACGCATGGAAAAGAGGCTCCTCTTTTCAGTCTCAGGAACAAGTGCGGCGAAGCCGCATACAAACATCAAATCTGGAACCACCACATGGTGGCATCCCCAGTAAGCTCCAGGGGTCTCCGCTGTTGCCACAGAAGGACAAGGTGAAAAAGAACACCATGTCAACCTTCTTGAAGCAACATGATTCCGAGGGCACAAGAGCAGATGGAGAAGCACGAAGGTCGCACCAGCTCAAGGATGCCTGAAAGGGCACCCGTGGGCTTTCACAAGCACCACCGAGGCACGGGCAAAGAGCCGTGGGGTCAGGGGAAACCATCCTACCTGAGATGGGGTTGCTTGATCCCCATAAAGCGCGCGCACCACGGGCATATCCTCCCCTGCTCGCAAGTCTCCTCCTAGCACCAGTTGCTAGAAGGGGCGACGCCAGCTTCCGGCCACTACAAACGACCCCTAGCGGGCCGCATGCTTGGAACCTCACGGTTCTCTTCAAACTTCTCTCTCTTCCTCACTTAGCCTTCCAAAAGGACTGAGAGCAAGTTTGTAGAAGTAGTTGCAAGTAGTTCAAATGGAAGGAAGGCCTCTACTTAAAGGCCCAAGGGTAGACTGAGTAGCCTGAGGCCCCGCGCCGCGTAGCGCACCATGGGAAGCCACAGCCAATGTCAGATGCCCGCGTGAGGTTAGGGAAATCGAGATCCTCCCAAAGACGGAGCCGGTATAGTGTCGACGAGACCACTCAGCCACGCCTGGGTCACGAACCCCGATACGCAGCACACTAACACGGTAGGGCTCAGCAGTTGCGCACCGCATTGTCAGGGCAGCCTGGCAGGGCATGACATAACAGCCACCTACAGCATTGAACGCACTAGCCTGCCAGGAGGTCGACCGTCGAAGCTTGAGCCAGCCATGACTACGAACCCGGACTGAACACGCGCGCATACCAGCGCTGTCACGATCACTTCATGATCACAAAAATGCTCGGGGGCTACTGTCGGGGGTATGATACCCTGGGTATCTCAAGGCACTGATTAGTTAGCTGCTCGGGCGGTCCACGCGATATGCCGGCCTATATAAGCCCAAACGATCGAGGCCCAGCCGAGCTGAGCGGGCCAAACCAAACACTAAGGCCGGGGCCTGCCATGATCCCTTCTCTCTGCCTTAGCCACACACTACGCAACAACTCACGACCTCTCACCGTCCCGACCCCTATAAGGGACAGGGAGAGATCGAGCTCACCAAGCACGCCTGCTCTGACAAGACTAGGCACGTCGCACTGACCCCATAAGGACCGAGGGGACAGCAGTCACCTCGGCCCGGTCAGACGCCATCCTTGCGCCATGCAGCAAAGATAAGACAACACCGCCAAGCGGTGACGGCCAGTACGGAGAACCACCATCCAAATACGGCCCGACGAGACATATGTACGATTCCACCCACCATGGGACAGGATCCACGATGATGGCCTTGACTTAGAGGTTATCCAAGCCAACAAGGACCACGACCCCTTCGCTCGGGATTGTGGCCACCAACTCCGTAGACGACAAGACGATCGGCGACTCGGGGGCTGCTACCAACTCCCGTACAACGCCCCTGGATGATCAGGAGGCGATGACGAAGGCCACGGCGAGACCATGTCGCGCACGACGGCTGGCACAACACCACCGTGCCCACAGTGTCGTCATGACCGACACTGTAGCACCACGTCACACTATACCGCAACGTGGACACAAGACCATGACAACAGACATGTCCGGACGTGCACCACAAAACGGCGTTACTTGCAAGCCAAGTTAGCTAGGCCTCCTCGCTCAAGCTCACGACCCCTCGGTCGGAAGAACCTTCTTTTTTGTATGTGGCCTGGCCCAGACTCTATATAAGGGTAGTCAGGGCACCCATCCATCGAATCATCCACACACTCTTAGGGGCTCTCGAAGCTTTCCTTCGGGTAGCTCTCCTATCTCTTCCACTATTCTTGCATCCCCATTGTAAAAACTTCAGAGCATTCAAGCGAGGAACACGTACTCGATCATCTCTGAGACTAGACGTAGGGCTCCAGTCTAAACTAGTATAACTCCTCGTGTCTTTTAGATGCTACCATCGTCTTCCTAAAACATCGCGACATTCGTATGATTTTACTAGCCGATTTACAAAACACCGACACCGTGAAAGAAGAGGGAAGTAAGGAGAAGAAAGGACCCATCATGAGATAAGAGGAAAGATGAGAGCTTAAATATATAGAAAAATATGTCACGCTAGTATGCCACATCAACGAATAAATATCAACCTGGTTGATATGGACATGTGGTGCACCACTTAACTTAAAATGCATTTTTAAAGTTGAATGACCTAATTAACACACCCTTACACGTTTAAGCGCCACCCGTACATTTGATTCAAAAGAGTAAAGATATCGACATGATAACATCTATAATAAAAATAAATATCATTAAATTAAAAAAAATATTTTTATTAAATTTAGTTAAAGACATAAATATTAATATCATTTATTATTAATTTAGTCAAAGTTAAACTATTTTTAACGGATATAAATCGTATTTTTCTGTGGACAGCCATAAGTCTACCCAACGCGTCGAGGACGAAGCGACGACTGACTTGCAGTTGAACGAAGTCGTCCGCGTACGCGCAGCCGAGCAGAGGCAACCAAGCAGCGCCGGATCTTGAACGGACGGTGAATGTTGAGAGGTAACGGCACGCGCTTTGTCTTGGTTTCGCCCACCCTTCCGGTCCAAACCAAACCGTGTGTGTCCGTGTGCGACGAGAAGCTTCCAGAACCCACCAGCTCCGTCCTCCACCAATCCCATCTTCGCCTGCACGACACCTCCCTCCCTCTTCCCCGTCCGTATTTATACATCCCAGTCCGTCCCTGCTTGTTCCTTCCTGCTTCTCCATCGAGTTGGATTGGGTTCTAAGTTGGGCTTTCGGATAGTTGTGGTGTGCACGGCAGTTCTGCGACTTGCGAGGAAGAGAGGAGGAGACCGGATCCATGGCGTCGAAGCGGATCCTCAAGGAGCTCAAGGACCTGCAGAAGGATCCGCCCACCTCATGCAGCGCAGGTGATTTAGATTCCGCCCGCCCTTCCTCTTTCACTGCTACAGCTTAACTTTTTTGAATTTCCCATGATGGGAGACGACTTCTTCCCTGCGTTTGGTTGTCAGCGCGGTGCGATTCTTCGTGCGTAGTTGCCAGATCTGCGTATACATCCACTGGGGACGGTTGTAAATAGTGATCGTAAAATTTGAACGGTGTAGGTTGTTGGTGGGATAACGAGCATGTGTTGTGTAATTGTGTAATTTAGGAAAAGGATCGTAGCTTGTCTATAACTCTATATGGTTCATTTGGACATACGGGTGTTCATTCCTGCCGTGCCTCTAGGTTTGCTTATTAGATCCGGAGAGGGGCCTGCCTCCTGCTGGTCATTTTTTTTTTTTTTTTTTTGGTCATGTTCAGGTTCCTGCATCAGGGTCGCACAGGGCAGTTACATCGTCCTGCCAGTAAGAAATTCACCTTTCTGTTCAGGCGGGTTGAGTAATTTTGTCGGCATCAAGCAAGCCGTTGTTGTTTAGATAAGTGCAGCGCTCACGCACCATGGTAGTCATGTACTTGAGCATGCAAACCTGCTGAGTGCTTCCAGGGCCATCAGCCCCTACACTGTGACACTAGCAAATCTAGTATGCTGATGTATGTACATAACAACAGTCTTCAGTTGTAGTTGTACACAGAACTAGCAATTCTGTTTGTGGAAGATTGATATTCAAGTTTTAGAGTATCAAATGAATGTGTGACTAAAATGCATTTCTTTGTCCATGTACAGGCCCTGTTGCCGAAGATATGTTCCACTGGCAAGCGACGATTATGGGTCCATCAGATAGCCCATATGCTGGTGGCGTGTTTTTGGTCACTATTCACTTCCCACCGGACTACCCATTCAAACCACCGAAGGTACATAAGTGTTGTCTCAGCTTATTTGTTATTTGTTGTGGGCACAGTTTTGTACAGTATTTAAGACCACTGCTTGTTTCAATTTCAATTAGTTTCCATTTGTTTATGCACGTCAGTTCATATGAATTATTGGACCCCCATTCCTGTTACACCAGTTGTCCACTTATTTCCTAGATGGCTAGATCCCAATTAGAAGAATTACTGGCATGGAACGTCTCCAACTAATTCTGAATTTGACACTGTGCTGCTTGTCAACAAATATCGACACTGCCCATGACATGTTATAATCTGTTCACGCATACTATGATTTCTGTGAAATTGTTAGCTCTATATTTTGCCATTCCATTCTATACTGGACCACTGGTTTGATTTAGCCTGTTTAATGTGAGAACCAACCTTGTTCTTTGCAAAACTTAGCTCTATCTACACATGCGCATTAGCAATCCAACTGAATCTGAAATACCTATCTGTGTGCTCATCATTTATTACATTTTGCAGGTTACATTCAAGACGAAGGTTTTCCATCCGAATATCAACAGCAATGGGAGCATCTGTCTTGATATCTTGAAGGAACAATGGAGCCCTGCTTTGACAGTTTCTAAGGTTAGTATTTATTCTCTTCTTCATGTAACATTGCTACAAGCTACTTCAAGATAACTCTAGTGTAGCCTATTTAAGAAGTTGGGATCATCTAGCAGATTCTGCAGATTAACCAAAACATACCAACCTCCTGTTAACTTTTCTAGTTTGCATCTTTAGCTAATACATGCCCACAATTTTCAGGTCCTCCTCTCAATTTGTTCCCTTCTAACGGACCCAAACCCTGATGATCCATTGGTCCCAGAGATTGCTCACATGTACAAGACTGACCGCGCGAAGTACGAATCTACTGCTAGGAGCTGGACTCAGAAATATGCAATGGGCTGACATTGCTGGCTGCCAGGAAGATGATGACCCAGTTATCTGCTCGTTACACAAGCTGTGGGTCTGTCCTAGATCTAATGCACTGCCTTTTGTAATTGAAGCCATGGGTCTAAATTAAACTGCCCATTCATGCATCGAACTATTGGTCTATAATGGAAGGCGAAACATTAGTCCCTCGCGTTGTCTGTGGTCCAATATTTTGGTATTTTGGGCTGCTTCGATGGTTTATATGACTTGATAGTTTGGGTCTTCCGCTGGTGGTTGGTGGTGGTCTGGTGGACATGGACTGAAAGTTCGAATCCTCAAAATTCCAAAACTCGATGGTTGTAAATTTTTGCTGCCGGACACGGGGTTAGAACTTGGAAGCTGCAGATTTTACACACTGATCGGATGTAGAATTTGGTAGTTCTGTCGGCCTGATGTCCTTCGAAATGGATTTGTGATAACGGCCTTAGTGAAAATAACGAAAGTGTTGAGTTGGGTCTCATCCGGATTCCGGAACCGCACGTTCTCGCAGCCCGGTAAAACTAAACTGAATTTGACTATCAGTTAACCAACTAGATAAGACACCACGACTTACCAGTGGATGCAAAACTCGCATTTCAGTAAATCATATATATTCCAAAATTATGCATTTAAATACAAATTATGATTATCTGTTTCTTCTTTTATTTATCTACTTACTCCATGTCAAACTATAGTCATTTTAACCTTGTTCTAAGTCAAATTTCTTTTTTAAAAATTATATAAACATATATAGCCCAAACAAGATCCATTAAATACCTCATGAAATATATATTTTATAGTGTATTTATTTAGTAATAATAATAATATTGTAAATATTAATATATATATATATATTTTATAAACTTGGTTGAAGGTATACATGAGACATAAAACGATGTCAAAAGCATCAATCCTCGATCTAGGAACATTGTCTACAATCTGAGGGCATGTCATTTTGACACTACCGTGTAAAAATCTATCACAAGTAGCATACCACATTTTTTGACCCCCCGTCAACCTAAAAACTTTGTGACCGTGGTTAGATAAATTTAACTTGGATTAAATTAAAATAATTTGCAATTTAGAACAGAGATAATAGATTATGAATGCACAAGGAGGCACAATAGTGAGGATCCATATCATGCTCGTCACCTCATGGACAGGGACGGAGCTTAGTTGAGGCGGGTCATGGTCTCTCCTAGCCTACCTTAATCTCCATTGACTAAACAGTAATTTTAGTCTTGTTCATAGGTTTTTAGAGCTCAATTGCATAGATTAGGCCCCACCTATTTGTTCAGTGAAGCTCCGTCACTGCTCATGGACACCACGACGGTGGTAACAGGCAATCAGGCATCACGGGTGGCCTGTCCAAGCTGAAGCGGTAGAACTATTCAGCCTGTTCGCTTGTTGGTTTCAGTCAGTCCAAACCAGCCAGTCAATAGTGTTTTTCTCTCATAAAAAATCAGCACCAGCCAGCCTAAACCAGCACCAACACCAACCAACGAACATGCCCATTGTAGAAGGGCGTGGATGGCGTTCGGAGTCAAACTATGTGACGTCCACCTTGGTTCTGCTCTGCCTAGTGCCTAGGCCCGCTGATCCTCCCAAGCAACGCCAATGACATGGCTACGTTCGGCTGCCATTATAAGCCGGCTTGTCATGGTACAGTATTTTTCTCTCCCAACAAATCAGCCGTACAAATCAGCACAAGCGACTTATAGACCAGACGAACATGTGCCTCGCTAAAGTATGGTGGGCTTGTGGTTCAAGACAGGTGCCAGACGGCCACCATTATATTCTGGCATCATGGATGGCATTTTGCTCGGAGGCTCCATTTATTTCACAGCCTTGTAAGCATGGTGGCGGCACCGTTTAGAAGCATTCTTATCAAATAATTAAGTAATAGTTGCCGTCCTAGCTCAGTGGTAGAGCGCGTGGCTTTTAACCACGTGGTCGTGGGTTCGATCCCCACGGACGGCGTATTTTGTATTTAGGTCAATTTCCATTTGTCATTAGGATTGTCTTTCTGTTCTGTAATTTGGATGCAAAGAAAACTTGTTTTTATTCATTTCTTTTTGAAGAAAGATCTAATTTCTTTTATTTTCATTCTTAGGCCCCGTTTGGGCGGGCTCCCGCGTGCTCCGGCTCCTGTAGCGACACTGTAGCCAGAGCCGCGGGAGCCAGAAAAACGAGCTTCGACGGCTCCGGTTGTGTCAGTGAGAGAGGAAACTAAGAATAGAGAAAAACGTCTTTGGTGAACAGTGCATGAACATTGAATGAACAGTGATAAGAGCGAACGGGTGCCGAGAGCTCGGTCACTTTTCGGCTATGTGCTTGTGTGTTCTGATCGGTTCGGGGTTCGATGGGTTCGAGTCCCCTTTCATGGCACGCCTTGCTTTTTCTTTTATAGGCCAAGGAAAAGCACAGGTTACGGTGGAGAGAAAAGAGAAGGAGAAGACCTCCTCCAGGATCGCTGGGTCCTTTTCCTTCAAGCGGGTCCCGCCGACCCTGTAGACGTCAACAGGGACAGTTCCACGTCGTGGCCCTGTCTGTCACTGGCGCCATGTGCAGGCGTCGTCTCCCGGTCGTGGCGCTCCACTTCGTCCTGGCGGACGTCGTGGTGAATTGACGCGCCTGTCAGTGCTCATACGAGGGTTAGGCAAAACAGCACCGGTACGCCCGACGCTGTTCCTGATGTGAATCCCCAAGTATGGCCTGTCACGGCCACATGTTATATCGGGACGTGCCGGTCACCTCCCTGGTGTCAGAGCTTTGACCCAGACCCTTTCGCTTGGACCTAGAGTGGTTGACGGCGGTATGGATCTCCGTCGGGCGAGACGGATCCTCCGGCCTCGGGGTCGGTCGAGGCGGAGCCCCCCTAGAGGCCGGGCAAGGCGGAGCCCGCCCCAGAGGTCAGCGCGAGGCGGAGCCCGCCCTCAGAGGCCGGGCGAGGCGGAGCCAGCCCTCAGAGGTCGGACGAGACAGAGCCCGCGGCCTCGGTGTCGGGCGTGGCAGAGCTTGCGTATCTGGGGGTCGGTTGAAGCTGTAGTCGCGCTCCTGACTACTCGGATGAATCAATGTTGATGGTTGTTAGCTCATCCTCTTTAGGTACCCTAGTATTGGTCCCGACACTTTCGAAGAAAATTTTAATCTCTCTTTTATTATCATTCTTATAAACATGTATACATAGTACCGATGAACTTTTACTATCAGATAGTAATATCACGTAGCATTTTCCTAGAATTCTTTCACATGCTATTAACATTTAGGTCGAATTGAGATAGCGTTTGTTTCGTTTCCAGGTAACGTAAACAATAATGGAAGTAGCTGACGGAGGGACTGGCCGGGGGATCATTCATTCCTTGATCTGTTTGGTTGCATGTGGTAACGGTATTGAGCTGGAGACCGGAGGCGCTCGAAGTCTCAGAGCGAGGACGCAGCGGCAGCGTAATCGGGTAAGTCTCGGGGACAGGCGGTATCAGCAGTAACTGAGCGTTATCTTCCACGGTAGCTCTTAACGAACTGGGGCGAACCAAACACATGTATAGGGCTGGACAAAATACTCATGGCTCGTCAACTCGCTTGACTCGTGTCCGGCTCGGCTCGGCTCGTTTTAACTTTTTCACGAGTGGCTCGTCAACTCGCTTGACTCGTGTCCGGCTCGGCTCGGCTCGGCTCGTTTTAACTTTTTCATGAGCTGAGCTGGAAATCTAGCTCGCTGTTTTAACGAGCCAGCTCGCGAGCTGCTCACGAACTCAAACGAGCTAAGGCCTATCAGTCCACGATCATGAATCCAGAAGATGATGATGCTGACCTAGAAGTGTCCACATATTCCATTGATATGTAATCCTTATTTTCAGTTGTTTTATATGAATTTTGATTTTATAATTGTTGTGGCACTTCAAAATTGATTTATGGATTGTTTTCTAGGGAGAAGATGATGATGCTGACATTGAATTATGGACTTTCCTAAATCTGTGGTGGCAAGCAACTAGTAAATATGCTGAAACTGCATGGATCATGGATAGGCCAGCTATATTGCATGGTTGATACTTTTGATGAACCTGATATGTATTAATCATGTATGGTTGCATAACGATGGACATCACCTTCTGAAATTATTGTGACATAAACATTATAAACATATGTGTTTTTTTAGCACTAGAATTATTGTTTTTGACACATGGAACATGCCTTCCTCCGAATGATGCCGAGATTTTATAGGGTTGTCTGTTGGGCAGAAAAAACAGTTATGAGAAGTGAAATCAAGACAAGGGTGATTGGGTAGCAAGTTATCATCCACCTAGATGGAACGGAGATACACTGAGAAAGCTTTTGGTTCAGGGAAATGTAACGTGTATCTCCGTTACTGAGGGAATCGATAACTGCTACCCATGTCAGGGCTGGATATCGAGTTCACTCGGCTCGATCTAGCTGTTTTTCTGCCCAACTAACAAGCCATAAAATTTCGGCATCATATTACGAGTCGAGGAGGCATGCTCATGTCGAAAAACAACAATTTCTAGTGAGCTAGGTGTAATAAATAATTAAAGAGATGAGAGAATGACAAATGATTAATTAAAGGGAGATTTGCAACCAGATCATTTCTCCACGTGCCTCATGGCGCTTCAGGTGTCCATCTAGCAAAGGAGGTAGCCGCACAGAGGAACTCAGGGCAGCACAAACCCATGCTATCACCAGACTCAAGATTGGCAGTGCCCATTTCAATTCTGTTGGATAACTTGTGCACAGTTTAGAACGTGCAGTTTATTGATCCCCACTGTACAGAAAAGAACGATGCAAGTACATACGTACATCCGAAGCATACAGCCATTCAGGCGTTCAAGGCATGGCATTGGATGACAGGAAATCATATATTTCCTTAACAATATGGACGGGGAATTCTATACACGACGAGACAATTATTTTCCCGCGTATGTAATTTACAAAAATGTGGCAGATGCTTCTGGAAGCTGGGTACAGGTCCTAAGGCTGCAGTGATTAATCATCTACATAAAATTCTCAAAAAAAACATTTCTTCTGTTGTCTATTTTCCTGCACTAACTGTTCCCTCTTCGCTTCAGACTACATGATTTCTTCTATTTCGCCGCTGCATTAAATGACTTGTTTTTTTCCAGAAAAGAATAGAATCAATCCTGTCCATGTTACACCAAAACATTTTCAGACGAGGCTCCAGCAGATATGTCCAAGTTTGAACTGAAACAGTAATACCAGCTCAGCTCATTTCATCAAATCCAAGAACACAAAGCCATTCCACAAGCTATGCAGCACCATCGATGCCAGTAGGTTGCGCGATCTTGCAAAGACCCCTCCCATCACCACTCCAAGAAACACTAAAGGCATCACCCTTTGGGCATTGAAGTGAGCGAGTGCGAAAGCAGCAGCACTTGCTAGAATCGACCATGGAAGTGGCATGTACCGTGTTAGAGATGGGAGAAGGAATCCTCGGAACACAATTTCTTCCCATATAGGTGCACATACGGTGACTACCACTGCATACAGAGCCATTGCCACTGGATCACGTGCCACAATGGACTGTTCTACACTGGAAACCCCGACAACTGGACCTGGTGACATTGGAACTATGCTGATGTTTATGTGAGACAGCAGATTGACTACTGGGAATAACAGGCACCCAAATGCTACATCCAAATGCCATTTGCCCTTCAAATTGAACTCAAACCAGCCTGGAGGAAGAGGCCGGAATCTACCAAGGCATTGGTGAAGGATTGCAATCCCAGCAAGGCCTTCTGTTATGTCTGTCAAGAGACTATATAGTGCCTGGCCTCTGTGCGTCAATGTTTCCTTGCTAAACCCAGCAGCATGAGCCAAGAATGGCACTATCCAGGAACCCACAAACCAAAATGTGGCAATCCATAAAATCATGACCTGCATTCATAAATTACAAATGTGTCATTTCTTCTTATAGCACATTTCAAGTGAAGTGCTAAGATCCTAAGAGCATCTCCAAGAGTTCCCTAAATCCCCTCCTAATCCTTGATTTTTAGAAAGATTAGAAAAAAAAAACCCCTCTCCAACAACTCCTAATACTTCTTCCTAAAATTTAGGCACTTTGGAAATCTTCCCCCGTTCCGCGTAACTTTACGCGGACGCGACCTGGCGCGGATACGGCTTCCCGCGGGGCGTCCTTCTTCCAGCGCAGCAGTGAGGGCAACGACAGCGATGACCTCCGCTGCTCCTGCGCCACCAGCCGCCTGCGACCCCACCTGCGTCCTCTGCCCGCTCCAGCGCCCTCCGTTGGCTGCGACCTCCGGCCGCCCCGCGGCGTGGCCACAGCGCCCCGCAGCCGCGCCGCCGCGACTTGGTCTGGCAACAGCGCGGAGCAGCCCCCATCCATCTCGCTTGCGGGGCTCCGCGGCGCAGCCCCGCAGCACCATCGCCGCGGCATGCCCCCGCAGCAGCGCCGTCCGGTGGCCTCTGCATTGACCGAGCACCACGGCGCAGGAAGGTAGGTGCACAGCTTCTTCTTCTTCCATCGCGTCGGTCGCAGCCACCACTGCGCTGGTGACCTCTGGGCGGGTTGCGGGGTCCCCAGGGGCCGGCATGGTGTGGCACGGTAGGGGTGGGAACTCGCTGGGGTCCGGTGGGGGCGGCGCAGCGGGAGCATGCGGGCGCCGAGCAGAGCGATGCAGAGCTTGGTTGCAGTCCCTGGCTTTTATGGCCGAACCTCCCGCAAATCGATCGCAATGGACCGGCTCTCACAATCTGCTGCCCGGTGGCAACAAAGAAGGCATCGGATGCATTTACCTCTCGGGGCTTCCATGAATGCGTGTCATTTGGGCGAGTTGGATTCGCCGGAGCTGCACGCTTCTTCAGTAGTACCTTCGTCCATCCGTCTTCATCCTCCTCGGTCGCGCGCAACGGGTTGACCATCTCGCTTATGGGGCTCATGGCGCAGCCCCCACAAAGACCATCGCCATGGCATGCCCCCGATGAGGATATCGCCATCTTTGGACACACCGGCGCCGTGGTCTTCCAAGTTGCAATTTGTTCCCAACTCACCGCCACGTCACCCTCGGATTCAGCAGACACGTCGTCATTGTTTCGGTCATAACTTTCTCATACGACATTGAAACGGGCCGTTCTTGGATGCGTTGGAAAGGGGACGACGACGCCGTCGTTTTGGATCTGGTCCCAGCTCGGAAGGTCCGTGGATCATTCTGTGACCACGGCAAGGTCTGTCACGTCACCTATTTGGGCCAACTTGGCCATGTATCGTGTCGGACCTTAAGCCCAAGTTGTGGGCGCCCAACCCCCTGCCGTCCCCAACCCTAGGTCGAGTCTTAGACTATAAACACAGTACGCCGCCCATTGCTACACAACCGGGTTTTGTTTAGAGTTTAGTTTTCCATCGAGAAACCAAATCGTTCATTGTAACTGTGGTGACAAATCCTTTTACAATGATCCAGGGCCCGCTTCTTGATCTCCTCCATCGTGGTCGATTAGTCCTTTGGAACCGAGTTCTAGAACCCTCTATTGATATTCGCGTCATTCATATTTGCAATATCAGATTGCGTGTTTTACCTTCTTGCTTGTGCTCTTCGATTCGCTTGCAGGAAAAGCCTTCTTGGCGAGGTCAATTAAGTTGTGCTTGGTTGATAACCAACGGAGTAGAGGTGTAACGGTTGCAGGGTTCGAATCGCGTCTGATTTGAAGCCGGATCGCCAACGTCGAGATCTCCACAAATCGAACTTACCGGCTACCTCTCGGAAGATCGGGCCTGTACTCATCACCCCCGCAGCAGCGCCCGGAAGTGAGAGGAGGAAGATGCATGGAAAAGAAAAAAAAAGCCGCAACATATTTCATGTGGCCCCAAATTTGATTTTTTAGATGCTATTTATTAGAAACTCTTGGAGATGAGCTTCTTTTTTCCTCCCCAAATCTTTTTAGGAGTCGTCAAACTACAAGTTTTTAGGAGAAAAAAGTAGGGAACTCTTGGAGATGCTCTAAGCGATCATTAGATTTGATGAACACTTCTGATTTAACTACCTACTTAAGTCGGATGATCAACAACTAAGCATTCCCCACATGTGAAACTAGGCCTCAATGATGCCATCCATCATTCATTTCTTTTGTGTATAAATCTTGCTAGCATATATATGAGGGAGAAGATATACCATAACTAAAACAGAGATAAATGTATAAAATTCTCATTTGAACTGTATGACAAACAGCAAAGCCTTTTAGTCCCCACAAAGTTCAGGTTGGCAAAATCCTCAAGTGTGCTGTGTAAAATATAAAATACAAATAGAAACATGCTATAATTACTGCTAAAGTCTACAAAATGCATAGCTATATAGGTTTAAGACTGTAACACCCTAGGTGTTAGGCTTGCATAATTGCACTTGCATTGCATAAGCATAAGTATTTTCATACGAAACATTGCTATGAAACATGTGAAACATACTATTGTTCTTCTATGTTTCATAGTATGTATGCTTTATAATCATGTGTGATTAAGTGCAAGTGGTTGATATTGGTCACTAAAACACCTTAGCTACACTTAGGATGCTTAATGGAACAATGTTCATGTAGATCACTTTACCTAATTAAGCTCCTAAGTGATGACATGCTTGGTTGACCTAGGAAGTATTTGTGTGTGACCAATGTGAAATGCTTGTGGGACCTTAGGGGTACCCTAAACATGTTTAGAATGTCACTAGGAACAACTTTAGTATTCATAACTAAGGCTAGTTTGGTCTCTAAGTCATACCTATAGTGTAAAGTACCATTTTCATGATGTATGTTTGACTGGAGTTGAATATCACTTTAGAAACTTTGCATGGCTATGCACCCTAAAACAAAGTGGTAGAACTCAAGTAGTGTAACAACTTTTATTTTTGGGTCATAGGCTAATTCAGCTCCTAACATGCTTGAATTTGGATCCCAAAAATCAATGAAGAGCTGTTTTTCAGAACTTAGAAAATTTTCTAAGTCCCACGGAGTTTACAGTTTATTGTGTCATACTTTGTGATGATGTAACTCTTAAACCTTTGCGAATTAGCAGATGCTTTCTAAAGCAATTTTGTAGCCCTCATATAGATCTTCAATTTTTGTTAATGGAGCTTGTACTAAATGACCGTGGTTTAGGAGTTAGGAGGGGATGAAATCGGGCTGTCAGGCGACTGATGCTAGCTCTGATGGCCATCGCGTTCACGCCGTCGTGGCCGACAGGGCGCTGGCCGCGCGTGCCATTTGGCAGTCGTACACCGGCGGCGTCCCCACCGGTCAGGCCGTCGCGGACACCTCAACGCCACGCGCCTGCTGGTTCAGTTGCTGCCTTCATTCGCGTCTCCTCGCCTCGCCAGTGCACTCGAAAGCAAAGCACCGAGCCTCCGCCATTGCCGTTGAGAGCGTCGCCGTCGCCTAGCTCTCTCGCCACCACGCCATTGCCGCCTCCAGCTAGCAAATAGACTCGCCGTCTTCCTACCTACCTGCTCGACGTGTTTGCTGGACCAAACAAGCTACGGTGAGGACGAATTTCGCCATTCTCGCCTCGCCGGAGTTCACTGTCTCCGTGGCCGCCGTCATGGCGAGCTCGCCGCCGCTCCGCTCCCTTCCCCATTCTCTTTCCTGCTTCATGTTAGCACTAGTTTAGGATGTTATCTAGCCTCGGTGATGACCTCACGGCGAGCCGTAGCTTCGCCGGCGTTGAACACGACGGACAGCGCCATCGCGTTCTCGCCGCCGCACCGCCGCGCACGCGGGCGACCTTGCCGGTGCTTCCTCCAGAACCCTTGACAGCCTACATAGGTCCGCGTAGTCACCACGGAGTTAGTGCGCCTCTCGCCTAGACCTGCCGTGGCCGGAGACGGCTGGCGCACCGCCGCGCAGCGCCGCCGTGCCGCCATGGCCGGTGACGAGCCACCTCTGATGTGTCCCTGTGCCAACCACCTGCACCTTTGGACGCGGAATGTTGAGAGGATCATCACGGTGGTGTCGGTTTCGCCGGAGAGGTTGCCATCGGCGAGCTAGCGCCGGTCAACTGCCGTCCCCTGTCTCAGTGCGACTGACCTGTGGGGTCCGCTGACTACTGGGTCCCGCATGTCAGTGTCTGTAGTTCTAGGTTTTGTAATTTCTTTTCCTGATTTTTGTGCTAACTTTGGAAAAATGATATCTAGGGCTAGGAGTGTCCAAATTGAGTGAACCAAATTTTGTTGGATTCCTCATGAAGTGTAGTATTTGATAAAAATATGAAATGCACTATTTTTTGTATTTTTCTCGGAGAATAAAATAGAGCTAGATAAATGCTTTTAAATGGTGTCAATCTTGTAAAATGTATAACTTGAGCTAGGCAAGTGTTAAAAATGTGATTCCAATTTTGTTGGTCTTGTATTGTCATGTACTACCTGGAAAAAATATTGGTTGCACAGTGATCTTGCTGGAAATAGGAGTTTTCTATTTATCTTAAATAAATGCTAGATTCTTGTGCTATTTTTCATGGTAAAGATATATATCCATTGAGCATGAAACTTTTTGTACAGTGTTCTTGTGCTATGATGAAGCTAAGAAAAATATGGATTCTGTTGTTTGACACTTTTCAATAGGATTTCCTATTTATGCTATTTTAATCCCTGCTGGCTTGTTAATTTTGTGTAGGATGTTCTACTTGTTCAAATGCTATGAAATTTATACAGTAGCCTATTGGGGACATGTATAAGCTACTGTAATTTTTGTGGAATTTTCTGTACACTTTTGCTATGTGTTTATTATTTCACCTAATTATCTAAATAAATTAATAAAGGCCTGAAAAGAATTTATTTAGGAATGACCACTATGTTTTCTAGTGCTCATTTGATGTATGTTAACTGTTGGTAACATTGGTAGTGCTCAAAGTACCATTCTTGTATATAGTGAAATATTATTTTCACTATAATTCACTTATAGTCACTTTCTGGACAGATTCTAGAGTTAAGCAAATTACATAGTAAAAATGATGTTTGCTGTGAATTGTCTATAACAAAGTTGTATATAACTCACTTAACTAGCTTGTGTTAAATTTTCATGGCATTTGATCAAATGGTTTGTGAGTTATGACTGTTCAAAGTGGGTCTTCAGAACTTGTAGTTCTTTGAAATTTCTGGACTAGATTTGATAAATGTGTCTGTTTGGTCTTGTTAACTTGGGAATCATGCTGAAATGGTTAAATATGAATTGTAGGTAATTTCATAAGCTTTTCAGATTTTCTTACTGCATGTCTTTTGGGTCAGTACAACTCCAGTTATGAGTTAAACTAGCAGCTGCTGTCTGCAACCCTAAATCTGTGAATGCAGTGAATAACTTGATTGCTTTATATGAGTTGATGTGATGATTTAGATGCTTAGGCTAATTAAAATAAATTGTTAGTTGCAGGTGCTAGACCTCTTACTGAAGATGAACAACTTTATCTTAGGTTGTTAGAGCTTGGTGAGTGTGTAGTTCTTGCTTTCATGAAGTGATATGCACCTACTCAGTAAAATAAATGTTAATCTTGAATCATCATGTCATTCATGTGTCCATCTTGACATGGCTGTACATTTCATCATCACCTTCCATCTCCTTTGCATTCATGACTCTTATGCTATGCATATGCATGCAATAGGTGTTCCGAAAGGAGTCACGCTTCTGGAATTCAAGCAAGGACTTCCGGAGGAGCAGCAGCAAGCTTAGGAGCAGGAGGTGCAGGCCCCAGAAGGAGCCAACGAAGAAGTTCTTGAGTGTCCCGATCACCAACCATCATCTTTTCTGAATGGCAAGCCCCAAAGCATTCTAAGTCTCCTATGTTTTAAAAATGTTACTTTGAGTATCTTTACATGTTTGATGCATTAAGTTATAGGCGTTGGATGCAAACACTTGTTGCATATCTATCTATTCCTTGTCCAGTAAATGTATCATGAATCCTATTTAGGTCCAGGAGCGAATCAATGCTTAGCCATGCTTAGACCGGTAAAGTCAGGTGATTTCCTGTCACCTGCAAGATAGGATGATGTCTGGTCACGGTTGGCTATATTTACTATAGTGCAAATAATCATGTGTTAATAATAAATGTAGATCGGACGGGATGTCGATAGTGAAACAACAAGGCAAGGAGGTCTTGGGTGTGGATCTATCCCCGTCTGTGTCGGTTAAGGACCGATTCGCTGTACATCCTCATGTCATGTTGAACGCATGCCTATCACTTAGTTGGCCGGATAACTCGTTCCGACTGCGAAGCCGAGTAGCTCAATTCAGACTGGAAGCCGGGAAGTGAAAGTGCACACTCTGACGGTAGTAAGGATGTGCGGGGAGCCATTGGCGTAAGTCCAAAGAAGAGATTGACCTTCTTGCAGAGTGGATTCCCTGAGAGTGCGGCGCTGCTCGGACCCGCGAATTTGTTCTGGAGCTGTACCAAAGGGACCCGAGGCAACCACTGATCAGGTTGATTGGGTGTGTGTTAGGAATAATTCCCCAGCTGAGTAGGAATCGATTCGAGTCGCCGTCTCTCCCGGATAGTGAGAACTTGACTGAGCAGCGACAACGTAGAGACACTTAATTGAACTTGATGGTGATAATGATGATGATGATGTTACAACATTATACCGGATATGGTTACTAATGTTTGGAGTCTAATCAAGTGCTTGCTCTAGTACAGGTGCTAATCTAGATGACAGGTTAATATTGATAACTTGCTGCTTAACTAATAATTTAAATTATGCTCTTGTATCATTAAAGCTTTTATGCAAAATGGTTGTCAAGCGAGATCCACTGATAAAGCCTTGCATACTCCTTGGTGTCATTTATTTTTTGTTTACGACGGGTAAGTCTAGCTGAGTACATTCTCATACTCATGGTTTATTCCCTCTTATTGCAGATGACGTGCTTTATAACAGCTACTGCAAGTATTGTCTCCACCCTGCTGGTGATGAAGACTAGATCATGGGCATGATCTTCTATGTTATCTTATCATGATGCTTTTGCTAGATATGACTATGGAACTGGCTTGTATTTGAACTAAGTGTGTGTGATGGTTTCCAACTACTTTGCTTCCGCTATTTGTGAACTCGTGTTGTAATAACTATGTGAACTCCGATGTATGAGATACTTGTGAACTACTTGTGAAATGGATGTAACATATGGCTTGTTACGTTGAATCACTACGATCTTGGTTGTATGCAAGTTGGTTTGAAATTCTCCGTGGTTTCAGTTGACTACCGGGTTTATATGGGTTCAAGTATGACGGTTTAATCACTCCAGTGATTGCTTTCGTACTTGTGCTCTTATAAATTGGTCGGTTCTGTTATAAAGACTACAATAGAAACTATGGACCCACATTGACAGTACATTGCATCTTTCAAATTTCAGCAGTCTGCCAACAATCGATGGAAAAGTAACGTATAAAACATGTCATTCAGCCTTAGAAAATGAAGCTGCAACTGAGCATTAGCGTCACCTCAGAAGATGGATGGAAGAACTAACCTGAGCAATGGTTTGTCCAGTCCAAGGTACTGTCCAGCGTTCTGTCTGAAATCTTACTATTCTGCCCAGTAAATTTTCTTTTATCTGAAACACAAATAGAGAATTCTCATTGACCAGACAATGAAAATACCCAGACACTTATATTCCTCCAAGAAGCAAAATACATAGTAGAGCAGTAAAACTTTTAATGGTATCTAGTGTTTGGCCTTTTAGTACAATTTAGATTTACTAGTAAAACGCATGCAAGATGCCAAACTAAAGAGCTTGGCAGTAAAGTGTAGCATAATGCACAAAGTTGTCTTGCAAATTTATATCCACAGTACTTACTTCTGTCCTAAACATTAAAATGGTCATCCTAGATGTTCATTAAAACCTCATATAAACATAACCAAACACAGCTAAGCGAAAATTGATCTGTTACATGTATTTAAATGGTTGATAATAACAGGTAGACAAATCATAGGATAAAAGCTGCCTTTTGAAACTATTTTCCTGTTACCTCTAAAAAATTGAACTTTTTGTTTCAATTAAAGCAACTTCCCGGGACTGAACCACATACATGGCAGAACATTTTCTAACTCTTCATACTTTATATGCCTTATAATGAAACATCCAGGACATCGTGCATACAAATGGCACTACAGAGAGTCAGAGATGCTAGTAAGCTTATATTAAGCCCATATTTTGTTCTGTTTGGAAGTGTTATAAGACCTGGATAGTGGATATCCATCATAAGAGCAACTCCAAGACTCTCTAAATCATTCATAATTGTTAGGAATAGAGATTTTGGTGAAAAAATAACCTCCAATAGCTTCTTTAATTGGCTAGCCAAATATAGCCCTCATCTATTCCGGATTTCTCGCTAGTCAAACATAGAAAGCGAGAATGGCTCTTTAGAGTGCACACAAGATATAGAAAAGCTGTTGGAGAGTGAAAGAATATAAAAAACGACTTTTATGCAAATGACTTTCCAAATGATGATTTAGAGAGTGAGCTTTAAAAAGACTCTTGGAGATGCTCTAAGCTAGATAACTGAAGTTATTTATCTGTCAATTCAGTTATTTATTTCTATCAGTGCAGTTTAGTATAATTTTCAATTAAGTTCCATCAAAACCCAATAACACTCCCAATTCTCATATCATTAAAGTATGATGTTTGGTCAGTTAAACACCTAGGAATAGAAACAATTGTTGTGTTGGGTGGCCAAATGCTGCTATCGGTGCTAATATATAAACACATACAAATTTGTATATGTCCTGATTAATAGTTACAATTTAACACAGCATGCAAATTGCCATATGAACAGTTGTAACAAATTCTATAGCAGTTTTATAATTATGACCAATAGTTTTCATTTCAGTTTCTTACATGAAATTATCAGACAATCAAGGCAATATAAGTCGACAATCCAGTTATGCAGTAGTTTTAGCTTTGTTGTATCCTAAAGAATGAGGCCATACTTTTTCTCACAAGCATCCCATCCAAGTTGTACATTCCATGCACAAATTTACTAGAGTACAAATTACAAACAAGTCAAGCAAATCAGACTTGCCTTCTGCAGTTGCAGGAACCAATCCCCGTCCTTGAAACTCTGCTCCTGCTCCTCATTTGAGCTACTCACCTCTTCCTCTTTCACCTCTGCACCACCTGAGCTCTGTGATTGGGCAGCATACTTGAAGCCATCACCTTCGTCAGATGTTGTTGGTCCATCCTGATCATTTCTGAAGCATGTGACGTGCCACAATGTCCATACCTAAAAGCTCAAAGGAAAGAGAAAAGAAGCTCCGGATTATTCCAAGACCAAAAAAAAGCCCAGTAGTAACAGATTGACTAAGCATAGAACATAGTCAGGTGATGAGCAACATTGCAGTTCCTAGAACGAACTGGATACACTGATCACCACAGTATACGAGTTTCTTTAACCAATTCAGAACTCCAACCTGTAATCAGTCAGCACACGCAACAAAAATGCAAGTCTGAAGCCCAGATTTAAGCAGGGAAATGCAAAATTCAACAAATCCAAGCAACAGAAGAGGGCAAATTATGTACTGCTGAACGAAGGTTTAGCTGCCCCGCCCCCCACCCACCCACCCACCCATATGCGCAAGCAGGTAGAATCGTGTGGACAGAGAGACGTACCTTCGCTGGAGCCGCACACCGAGGCCCGAAGCCGAGTGACGGCCTCGCGGCGGAGAGAGGTGGGAGCCGAACCCGGAACCTTGGAGCGGGAGGGGCGAGGCACGAGGCGGAGGACATGGGTGGTGTGGGGTGGAGTAGGCGCCACGACCCACGACGGACGGCTCCGGGCCAGGCTGTGCTTGCTTCCACCTCCAGCCTCTTGATCCGTCTGCTCTCTTCGCCCTTCGGCGACGCGGCTTCGCGTCGCCGCCGTGGAGAGGCGCAGCCCGGATAGGCCCTCTCTGAAATAACCAACTAAAAAAAATTGAAGGGTAAAATGTGTGTAGTCTATACTCTATATATCACTCGAGAGACTTAGGCCCCGTTTGGCAGGACTTCACTTCACTAGCGAAGCTTTTTTTTTTTCTTCGGCTCCACGAACAGCTCCACCGGTAGAGCTGAAGCGGTTTTGGTAAACCGTTTGGCAAAATGGCTTCCCTATGAGAGCATGTTTTTAGGGGCCTGGAGAAGAAGCCGGGAGAAGCCACTATTTTTGGCTCCTTCCCACCCCAAAGCTATGTGAGAGCACGTTTTTAGGGACTTCATCGATGGAGCCGTTTCATTTTATCCTGTTTGGCAAAAAACGGCTCCAAACAGCTCCTAAAGCCGCTGGAGAAGCCCTGCCAAACGGGGCCTTACTGAGTTACTGTGACTGTGATCTCGTAAAGGAGCTGTTTGGTTCGATGTTTTTGGCCCGTAAGTAGTTTACAGCGGTAACAGATCGCGTTGCATTGTGTTTGGTTAGCCCAGCCCGTAACCGATGCCACTGTAAACCGATCCAGCCCCATACAACACGGTTGCCCCTCGTCTCCTGGCGCTATCCGGTCCCGTCGCAGTCGCGCGTGCAGACTCGCGAAGAAAAGAGCGCCGCGTCCCTCTTCCCCATGCGCTCTACTGTTCTCTCCTCCAACCCGTTCCCGCCACTGCCGTTTTACCAAACACATGGCGTAATCAATTCCCCTGCAACTGATACGGGTGGGAATCATCTCCATAAACGTCCCCTTTCCTTTTGCTGAACGAAACAGCACCTTAGTAGTTATCAAAAACTCTAAGCAGCCATAGAATAAGTTATTTTAAAATAAATTATTATTGGAAACTCTAAGTGACGACCCGTCGCGCTTCTGCGCGAGTGCGTGACCAGCGCTCACGCGGCCTGGCCTGCCTAGTCAGGGCCGTCCCACAAATTTCATGGACCCTTGGGCCAATAAGACACTAAGGGACGTTCGTGCTCACGCTCGCGCCTGGCCCTAGCACGCCGACACCGTCACGCAGTCCGCAAACACGCACTCACGATCGAGAACGAGAATACGAGCGGCCGCGGCCAATTGGTACGCAGGCCTATTGGTACGCACTGTTGCCTTACCGGCGTATGGACTGATAGCATCTACTATACAGTATACACATATGTACCCTCATGGGCCCATGGGCATCGCACTGGCTGCACCCCCCCATAGGACGGGCCTGTGCCTAGTGCATGCGTGCGTATACCGTTCGATAGTGTTTGCATGATTCACGCCATGCGATCGGCCCGCCGCCCAGTGCATGTGAGTGTAGACCATGAGATAGTGTTATCGCTGCAACTCCTCATGAGAGATGGAGGTAGGTTGCTCTATACATTTTTGTTTTGCTTTCTTTCTTTTAAAAATAAAATAACTTTCTTATACTTAGTCCGTTGTTAGTTTTATATGCACCATTGTATTTCTTATGATGAGATCTATAAAACTAGACCCATGATGCCTATATTTTAAAATATATTCTTTTATAGTGGTTACTTATGTTGTATATATAGTAGCTACTTACGTATTTTATAGATTATGGTAATCAAAATAAGTGGCCACTTGCTAAAAAATAACTTATCGCATACTGAGAAGCACATAATTTTAAACGAATTTGCGGAATAGATTAGTATTGTTGAGGCCCTGAGTTGGCAATTTTTCGTGTTTTCTTGCTGATCCGAGTATTATGATAAGTATTTACGTATTTTGCGGAATGTTTTTTCTTTAGTTGTCATTTTTCTATTTGTCAATTTCAGTTTAATTTTCTAGTTGTCGATTTTTGTTTCAGTCGTATGTTTCAGTTTTTTGTTTTTTATTATGTCTACTTTAGTTTTGAGTTTGTATTTGTCATTAACTGTTCAATTTTCTAGTTGTCAATTTTAGTTTCATTTTCTAGTAATTTCAGTTTTTGTAATATGTTTTAGTTTTAGTTTTTTATTGTGTTTTCTTTATTTTTTTCTATTTATCAATTTAAGTTTTATTTTCGATTGTCAATTTCTGTTTCAGTCTTATGTTTCAGTTTTTTATTTTTATGTGTCTACTTTAGTTTTTAGTTTCTATTTGTCAACTTTAGTTTTATTTTCTGGTTGTCAATTTCAGTTTCCGGTAATTTCAGTTTGTGTAATATGTTTCAGTTTTTTGTTTTTCATTGTGTTTACTTTACTTTTCATTTTTTTAATTTTCAATTTCAGTATTATTTTCAAATTGTCAATTTGAGTTTCAGTCTTATGTTTTAGTTATTTGTTTTTTATTGTGTCTACTTTAGTTTTTAGTTTCTATTTATACTATTGAGCCACTTGTGATGAAATCTATGAAATAAGACTATGATGCACGTGTTTCAAAATAGTTTGTATATACTGGCAACTTATGTTATATATGTAATAGCTATTTATTTATTCAGCGTGTAGCAACCTATATATTAACCTTCCAACAAATTATATATACTAGCAAGCGTATAGCAACTTACGTATTAAGCGTGTAGCAACTTATTTTTCATTTTTTAATATTTTTTATTTTTTTACTTATTTGTACTATTGAGACACTTGTGATGAGATCTATAAAATAAGACCATGATGCATGTGTTTCAAAATAGTTTGTATGTACTAGCAACTTATGTTATATATGTAATAGCTATTTATGTATTCAGCGTGTAGCAACCTATATTAACCTTCCAACAAATTATATATATTAGCAAACGTGTAGCAACTTATATATTAAGTATGTAGCAACTTATTTGTCAATTTCATTTTTCATTATTTATTGTCACTTTCAGTTCTAGTTTATTGTAATGTTTTGTATAATAACTTGCTCTCCTAGTTGACAGCTTATGCAATGCTTGTTTTTAATAATTTGTCCCTCCATGTTGCAGCTTGTCTTGTTTTGAGCCGCTATTCCATTAGGGGTTAGTATCTTTATGTAAATATTATTATAACAATTTTATTATATTCTCATGATAACAACTTCAGTCTATTTTTTTAGTAACAACTTTAGTATTATATGGTAGTAACTTTTTTAAGAAATCTCCTAACACATTTACACATAAATTACTCCTAAAATAAAATTTTTGAAACATAGGCAAGTGGGGTCTAATTTTGTTTGTCTCGTCACGTAAAACATATCGGTGTAGACAGAATTGAAAACGAATACACCGCTTAAAATCTATAGCAATTTAAAGAAAATACAGAGTAGTATTTTGTTTTCTTGGTTTGCGTGCTGACCACGTGAAGGCAACGGCGCAACAACAAAGCTTCTCGGGCACACCAAGACAGAGGCTTGTTGGGGCGGCGTATGCACTGCCAAGACCGGCTCAACTGCAGCGTCTTTGGTCCCAGCGTGGGCTTGGGGTCACAGAGTGCTTCGATGCTTGTGACGGGTCACGCTACATCCATCTCCAATTAGAGACCGTTTGGTACGGCTATGAAGTGCTCTGGCTCCTCAACTGTAGGACTCCTGTAGCAAAGAGCCAGCTAAGGGCGTGTTTGGGACTGCTCCGCTCCACGTTTTTCAGCTCCGCTTTACGTTTTTTAGCCAAACGGTTTTAGCTCCACGCACTCTGCTCCAGGAAAAAGGGTGGAGTTGTGAGAGCACCTAAAGAGGTACTCCACAAACTCTAGTTTTTTGTGGAGCTGCTCCACGGTGGAGTTTGTGGAGCAGAGTTTGTGGAGCAGTCCCAAACACGCCCTAAAGCCCTAAAAACCAGCTCCGTCGACTCCTTCATTCTGCAGTTCATTTTTTTGGTTGCCGTTAATGGAACGGCTCCTCCCTACAATGATGCACAGGGTTCAACAGTGCACATACAGGTTAAGCCAGAGCCCTTAGGAGCCACGCCAAAGAGGCCCTTATTATATGGCAAGCTACAGTACATATAAGAGTACTCCCTTCATACTAGTAATTTAAGGTGTTTGGACAATGCTTGAGCCAAATATTGAAATTATAAATCATGAATAACTTTTAAGTTGTTGTGTTTGGAAATATAAAAATCATATGAATAGATTTGTCTCGAAAAGTACTTTCATAAAAATATACATATATCACTTTCCAATAAATATTTTTATAAAAATAAGAAATCAAAGTTATGATTTGGAGACCGTGTCACTGTCCAAAACAACTTGAATTACCAGTACGGAAGGAGTACTAAATATCATCTGTGTTGCTCATACAGTTATGGGCATTGAATACGATGACACACGGATAAACCATGTTGGCAGAAAAAAAATTACTTTATTACAAGATTTTAGGCATCAAGGCGATAAAAAACAATGGATTATCGTGATTGAAGCCTAAGCAAAGAAAGAATGTTTTGGGCCCAATGTGCCAAAACCGGTCTAGTCGGATTCCTAAACCGGCTAGGCTAGGTTCTCTGTAGCCTATTTGGCAGACCTTCCTAGCCCTGAGGTTAGCCGGTTTCAAGATTCGGCTAAGTCGTTTTTCTGGTCAGAGACCGATTCAAGTCCAACTCGATCTCGGCTCGTGTTTTGACTTGGGAAACTTGCAAAATACGTCTTGGATATGTTTCCTACTAGGATAAGACCAACTCCTCTATATATATCGGAGGGCCACGGTTGTTTGAGAAATCCAACATCAAATCGTCAAAAAAACAATCTACTACCTTTTTACCTAACTTTTCCAAACCCTATTGTTCGACGCGTCTCTCAAGGAGATTTAGTGGCGTTCTAGGTGGCCTTGTCGACCCTAGGACAACCTCGATGTGCATCTCCCCAACAAGTCTTCCTAGGAGGTGTTCTCGAGCTTTTCAGGTGAAAAACAGGCTTCAAATCGGCTCTACCGACTGATCGGTCAGTC